TGGTATGAAACCCACCCGCAGACGATACCGCAACTCCAAGTAAAATGTCTTTAATGTCAGGTAAAATAATCCTGAGATTAAAGCCTTGATAGGGTTAATTCCGGTGCTGGGCTATCCCACATATGTAGCAAGTAACACAAAACGAAATGCAGTCCGCACTCAGGAGTAAACCCTTATGATCCACAGAAGAATACACAGGAATAATGAAAAAGTGCACATCTATTGATATAAAAATTGCAGCAATGTATCGCAGAAAATAGTCATGGCAGCACTCAAAACAGCTGAATATAAGAGCAGGAATGTTAAGTAATGCAAACAGCATATGGTAATCACAATATGGAGATACAGATATCCAGGCAAGGACAACACACTTGCAAAAAATAGGAACACTTTAAGGAATGAAATATTCAGTAGTTGTGATACCTGCTGCTGTCAGATGTGAGGAAGCCACCTACACTGCCACCCACAAAAAGGTTAAGAGTTTTGCACACCCTGTTGAGAATGCACCAGGGGGTGCAAAAAAGTCCAGGGTATCTTATTTTGTAATATACACCAATTATTCATTTGTAAAATGCACTAAATCATTATAATATACACTATATCATTGTAATATACACAGTATCTTATTTTGTAATATACACCATTTATTCATTGATTCATTCATTTTACACACTACATCATTATAATATACACTACTATATCTTATTTTGTAATATACATAATTTATTCACTCGTAATATACACTATATCATTATAATATACACAGTATTGTATTTTGTATTATAAAAAAAAAATAAAGAAAGAAGGGAGAGCACCTAAGTGCCAAATCCCAACTAGAGTGTGTATGTAGGACTTGATAGGGGGTAACCCTTGTATAAGTACAAAATTACTAAAGAGATGAGTGATCCCGAGCTACAATAGCAACAGGAGCACTTAGAGAAAAGTCCTGCAGAGAGTATGCTTGTCTAAGATAATGTCCTTTAAAAAATAGCTTTATTGGGGGTATCAACTAAAAAGTATGATCCCAAAATAGAAAAAATAATATAAAATGAAACTTAATACACCATCACCACTAGAAAAGTGATTATATACTTCGGGAGTGTTGGACTCAATGTCACAACTGGAAATAATCAAAATGTCTATTCAAGGCAGCCTAAGTAGGAAACTATCCTAAAGAAAGACAAGTAGGGGTGACCCCTAAGGTCTAGTATAGATTAAGGAGTGCTGTAAACTCTTGTCCTTAAGGTCAGACGGACTAAAATGCAGAATGTGTCTATATCTGTTTCAATTGCCACCTGGGAGCTCAAAAATGCTATAAACTCTTGTCCTTGTGGTCAAAAAGACTAAAAAGCAGAATATGTCTGTAAATGTCTAAATTGCCAACTGAGAGCTCAAATACTGAAACAGTAACAATGCATTGATAGCTAAAGAGGGGAAACTGAAACAAAGTATCTCCTCTGCCTGAGAAAAAGCTAATGATTGCTATAAGCACAGCTAATGCCTGCAAAGAACCATGCTTTATATAGATAACCTCAAATGCTATATGCTGCCACTATTGGTATAAGGTGATCCCAGTTGTACCTGTGAAGGAAAAAACAGATTCTACACTCTCTGTCTGCTGCTATCCATCTGGAGCCACTACCTATTGATAGAAATCAAATCTATATGTGAATCCATAACCCCCGTCCTGTGATCACATCTAAATGGTAGAGAATAAAAACAAAAAAAGGAGAAGACCTAACGTACGTTTCGGCGCTCCTAAAGCGCCTTTTTCAAAGGTAAACTCGATACTGTTTCTGGCTAGGTTTAAATACCCCACCTATTAATGCTCCAGCCAATCAGATCGTGGGGCGTGTTGAATCAATTCGCGCCAGACGTGCCGACGGCGTGAAGATGTCAATCATCCTTAGTACCACCCCGTGGGAGTGAACGGGGGAGGAAGATGTCAATCATCCTCATCAGTAGCGCCCAGTGGGTGTGGACGGGGGAGGATGTAGCCAGCCGTATCGTGCTTCGTAGTGAGCCGAGCTTGTTGGCATGAAAACAAAACAAAAAAAGGGGAGGCAAAACTTCCCCTACCATGACGAGCGCTTATGTCCTTATGTGTAATACAGGACAGCGCATCTAATCGCCTGGAACAAGTCCCCCAAAGCTAAACACTATATCTAGGACATAGATGTGAAGGAACTAAAACATACATTTAATTTTCAAATAAGTCCCAAAAGAACACACAGGAGGGGCTCCAAAAAAGGGGATCAAAAATGGTATAATTGTAAAAAGGAGAAAAAGTAACAACATATTTATATATATATGTCTGACCTCTTTACATTGTATGAGGGTTAAAAACCTAATAAGAATATAAAGAAATATAAAGATATTGACCCTTAGTATTTCCCTAGATAAAGGTTAGGTGGAGGGAGGAGGACTGATCCCAGGTGGAGTATAACTAGGCAGATAAAATAGTATCGAAAAAACAAACAAAACAAGGTAGAAAAAGTCACAAATAATAGCCAAAAAAGCTATTGAATAGACAAAATATAAATTACAGCAAAACCACATATCTATATACATAATTACAGTTCATCATGTCTCAATGAATGGGGTGAAGGTAAAGCCCTCATTCAATCCTTTAGGGGCTAGTGTATCTAGCCTATATATCCAGTAACATTCCCTCCTTTTAAGGGTCTGATCTAGATCTCCCCTTCTTTTACCTAATAGTACCTTTTCGACTCCTGCAAACTTAATACAGTTAGGGGTATCCGGGTGTTGCATTCTGATGTGTCTAGCAACTGGTGTGTCCCTACTTGAGGTTACAGAATGGACATGTTCCATAATGCGTTTCTTAAATGGACGAATGGGTTTGCCTACGTATTTAAGACCGCATTTACATGTCAGTAAGTAGACCATTCCCAGAGTATTGCAGTTAAAGAACTGTTTTATATTGACTGTGTCAGAATCGGTAGAATTAGTGAGGGTTTTAGATCCTTTGGCAATGTACATACATGCGACACATCGTCCACACTGATATGTACCGTATACATTCATCCAGGTAGTATTTGATTTTTTAGGGGCAGAAAGATGGCTAGGTACAAGTAATTCTTTCATGTTTCTGCCTCTTCTGGCTGTGATGGATACTTTCGTTGAAATTACATCTTTAAGGTGGGGGTCTTGTGTTAGTAATGGCCAAAAGCGGCCAATTACATTTCTCATTTTGATCCACCCCGCGTCATAATTGGCTATGCACCTGATTTTGACTCGAGTGCCGGTTTATCTTGCAACAGGTCCCCCCGATTGCAATTTAGAGCTCTCTGGTAGGCCTGTTTTAGGCATCTACTCGGGTAGCCTCTCTGTTTGAATCTCTGTCTCAGTTCAGTAGCTCTGTATTTGAAGTCATCAATAGATGAGCAATTTTTTTTAAAGGACATTATCTTAGACAAGCATACTCTCTGCAGGACTTTTCTCTAAGTGCTCCTGTTGCTATTGTAGCTCGGGATCACTCATCTCTTTAGTTATTTTGTATTATACACCATTTATTCATTCTATACACTATATCATTATAATATAACTATATCTTATTTTGCATTATACATAATTTATTCTTTCATACTATACACTATATTATTATAATATACACTGTATCTTATTTTGTAATATACACCATTTATTAATTTGTCATATACACTATATTATTATAATATACACAGTATCTTATTTTGTAATATACATCATTTATTAATTTGTAATATACACTATATCATTATAATATACACAGTATCTTATTTTGTAATATACACCATTTATTAATTTGTAATATACACTATATCATTATAATATACACAGTATCTTATTTTGTAAAATACGCCATTTATTAATTCTTAATATACACTATATCATTATAATATACACAGTATCTTATTTTGTAATATACACCATTTATTAATTTGTAATATACACTATATCATTATAATATACACAGTATCTTATTTTGTAAAATACGCCATTTATTAATTCTTAATATACACTATATCATTATAATATACACAGTATCTTATTTTGTAATATACACCATTTATTAATTTGTAATATACACTATATCATTATAATATACACTATATCATTATAATATACACAGTATCTTATTTTGTAATATACACCATTTATTAATTCTTAATATACACTATATCATTCTAATGTGCACTTTGTCTTTATAATATACAGTATTTCCTCATTTCTAGTAAACACATCCAATCATTAATATTATAATGTCTAGCTTCTTTTACTTAATATTCATTAACAGGAATTCAAAGTGAATTACAAATTCATTTCAGATTTCAACCTGCAGATTATGAAAGTCTCAAACAATAAACAGAGTAGATATGATACCATAGCTGACATTTTTATGCATAATGGGGTGAAACCTTACATTGGCATGTGGAACATTTTATGCATTTCCAGAGATTGTGCTTTGTGGGTTTTTAAATTTGATCTGGTGGGGTAACATAAGGTACACCATTTATAAATTGGTCAGATGGTGGCAGCTCTATACTTGGTGTTAAGAGGGAATTTTTATTATTTTTATAATTTTCTGTCTAGTTTAGACAAATAGTGATATTTACCCCTTTCACCCACTGAACTAAATTACATGTTGCTGCATGGTGCTACATAGCTAAAGGGTAAAGGTTAAACTTGGCACTATAGATGTCTGCGGACTACATTTCCCATGATGCACATTCAGAAGTTTATTAACATCTGCATTTCCAAATTTACCACCAATGCCTACTAATGCCAATTAAATCATTGCCATTGCCTTAATATTAACTAGAACCCAGATAGGGACTTTGGTATTTTGTGATGTAAAAAAAAAGAAAATATAAATATGGACTTTTTTTTTCTTCTAGCCTGAGCCACAAGTCGATGGCCAACCAATCTGCAGTTTGGAACTTAGAGCTCTTGGGTTTTCCAGGAGTCCCAGATAAATTCCACGTTCTAATTTCCATTACAATGTTTCTTGTCTACACAATGGCGCTTATCTCTAATGGAACGGTAACACTTTTGATAATTCTGAAAGAGAACCTGCACCAATCGATGTATGTATTTATCGGGAACCTTGCAATGTCTGATCTCCTTTTTGACACAATAACAATACCTCAAATCATCTCCAAGTATTGGTTTGGAGCTGGGAATATATCCATGTCTGGCTGTTTTTTCCAAATGTTTTGTGTTCATTGTCTAGGTTCCTTGGATTCCTTTATCATCATGCTCATGGCCTTTGATCGATATATCGCAATATGCAAACCACTTCGATATTCCTCCATAATCACTCATAGGTCCACTTCTGCACTGTGCTGGTTTTTCTGGATTTTAGCTGGACTTGCTTCATCAATAAATATCATTGTGATTGTCCCTCTGCCTTTTTGTGGGCCAAACAAGATCCATAGCTGTTTCTGTTCTGCTTCAGCCCTCTTTCCCTTGGTGTGTCAAGATATCAAATCTTCCCGAGAAATATTGTTAGTTAACGCAATGATTGTTCTTCTCGCACCACTAACTCTCATCATCCTTTCTTATATTTTTATAATTAAGTCAATTAACTCATCAGTCCACTTTGAGAACTGGCAAAAGGTATTTTACACATGTACGACACACTTACTCATCATTGCGTTGTACTATGCCCCTCGAGTATTTGTATACTTTGCAAACTATGTTCGTTTAATCCTTAATGCTGATTTAAATGTGTTAATTCTTTGCCTGTACTCATATTTACCACATATAGCCAATCCCATCATATACGGCCTTAGAACAGAGGAAATTAAGCGGACAATAGCTAAAGTTTTTAGATAGAAAATTATGGGTGGCATTTAATGTTATAAATTACATATGTCCTTACAAATAAAAAAAAAAACACAAATAAAATATATTAAACATCTTTTTATATCAAACTAAGGGATCTATTTACAAAAATAAAAAATGGACTACTAGGGAATAAATGGATTAATTCTTATATCTCTCAAAATGTATCAAACTTTCAATTAACTTGTTAGCACTTGAATAGGTGAAAAAGTATTTAGGTGCAGAAAATAGCAATTAATACTTTATTGGTTATTTTACTTCATATATTTTATCATAAAATAGAAATACATCTGTTATATATCACAACCTATATCTTAAAGAAATTAAATAAATAGCACGTTTGCACTGAAAGTCTGTTTTCAATCTATTTTCCTAGATACTTGTAACCCATTTAGACATTTTTATAGCATCTTTTCATTAAGAAACAATGCCGTTTGGTAAATACCTGTATATTAACAAAGCTAAAATGCATAAATATCAGAAAGAGGAAAATGAGGCAAATGAAAGGAGTGTAAAATAGATGGGATATTTTGGGGGTTCATGAGCTGTGTTATAATTATTTACTTGTAACATCTTCAAGCTCTGGGAGATCACCCCCCAAAAAAGTCACTCCAGGAACAAAGAGCTAATCCTCACACGTACATCACCCACAAATATTCTTATTATATCACCAGGAGTAAATCCAAAATAATAAAAACAGAGTGAACATTTTAGTTTTAATATATAGTGAATTGTAATGAATTGCCACAATCGCTGAGATTGATAATTTTTTGAAAACTGCTATTTTGACCTAAATGTTACAATATAAGGAAAGAGGTATATGTTAAAGATAAATTTATTTTTGATTGCCAAACATTTTATTACTTATTTTGCAGCATATAATAAACATGATGGAATACAGTGTAAAAGAAAGAAAGGAGACTCAATAGACATTATTTAATAACAGAAAAAAAACCCTCACTAACTATGAAAAGGGAGCAGTTAGCCTATAGCTTTGGCCTAGTCATTAAGTAATACAACATGTAATTGTTAAAATTAATCTAGGCAAACAGTAAAGATCTAAAAAGACCCCATAGTAAGACAGAGAGGTCTGGGCACTTTCCACTTGTATTAGGTAAGGTTAAACACTGGCAGGATTATTTAATAAAGTGAGAATTCCAGGATATGATGAAGTGCACATTACATGAAATGCATTAGACAGACATTGGTTCTGGTTTCCTGCTATATGTTTTTTCCAGCGACAGAACTACAAGGGCCTTTCGGCTCGGGGCGCCCATCAGGTGATTTGATTTTAACTTAATTTTCAGGTAGTGCTGCTTGTTTGGCATTGGGACGGGTCTGACCTGTTTTCAGTTGATAAGTCTCCCAGGATATTCCACTGCCTTATTCAGTTCATAAAGGCACAATACAAGTGCCCCTTCAGTATATGCACCTGTAGACAGCTGATCTACTGATTCCCTGCAAGAATTTTCATGTAAGCACAGCCTTTTCAGAGAAAAGGCAGCATTTATATTGCCCCCTAGAGACACCTCTATTGGCCACTCCTCAGATGACCACTGGAGGTGCTTCCTGGTGCAGCACTGCCGTTTAATGTCTCTACGCTCTGCATGCCACCTAAATGGTGGTTTTAACACTACATGGTCAGGAAAAAAAGTTTGTGTACCTGACCCTATAGTATTCCTTAAAAATAAGGAATCTTTGGAAAATCCAAATATAGAGAATTGCATGGGGAAAAATAAAAGGGGAAATTGGGGAGCAAATGAGGAAAAAGTTTTTTTAAGGTGGTCCAAGGACATTTATTGTTCCCCAAGAAGGAATACATTAGTGAAGAGGTTTTCCTATTAGCCAAATCATAGTTACATAGTTAGTTACATAGTTACATAGCTGAAAAGAGACTTGCGTCCATCAAGTTCAGCCTTCCTCACATTTGTTTTTTGCTGTTGATCCAAAAGAAGGCAAAAAAACCCAGTTTGAAGCACAATTTTGCAACAAGCTAGGAAAAAAATTCCTTCTTGACCCCAGAATGGCAGTCAGATTTATCCTTGGATCAAGCAGTTATTACCCTACATTGAAAGATTATATCCTTGAATATTCTGTTCTTGCAAGTATGCATCTAGTAGCCGTTTGAACATCTGTATGGACTCTGATAAAACCACTTCTTCAGGCAGAGAATTCCACATCCTGATTGTTCTTACAGTAAAAAAACCTTTCCTTTGCCTTAGACGAAATCTTCTTTCTTCCAGTCTAAACGCATGGCCTCGTGTCCTATGTAAAGTCCGGTTTGTGAATAGATTTCCACACAATGGTTTGTATTGGCCCCGAATATATTTGTATAATGTTATCATATCCCCTCTCAGGCGACGTTTTTCTAAACTAAATAGGTTTAAATTTGTTAACCTTTCTTCATAGCTGATATGTTCCATTCCTTTTATTAATTTTGTAGCCCGCCTCTGCACTTTTTCTAGTGCCATAATATCCTTCTTTAGAACAGGTGCCCAAAATTGCACAGCATATTCAATATGGGGTCTTACCAGTGATTTATAAAGAGGCAAAATGATATTCTTGTCCCGAGAATGAATGCCCTTTTTCATGCATGACAATACCTTACTGGCCTTGGCCACTGCTGATTGACATTGCACATTGTTGCATAGTTTGTTGTCTATAACAATTCCCAAGTCCTTTTCGTGTGTTGTTATCCCTAATTCGCTTCCATTAAGGGTATACGTTGCTTGTGTATTCTTTACGCCGAAGTGCATAACTTTGCATTTTTCAACATTAAATTTCATCTGCCATTTGAGTGCCCAGTCCCCCAGTCTATCTAAATCCCTCTGCAGCAAAGTAATATCTTGCTCACATTGTATTATTTTACAAAGTTTTGTGTCATCTGCAAACACTGAAACATGACTTTCAATGCGGTTCAAGATCATTTATAAACATGTTAAATAGAAGGGGTCCCAGAACAGACCCCTGAGGGACACCACTTGCCACCTCTGTCCAGCTTGAAAATTTACCATTAATGACAACTCTTTGTACTCTGTTTTTAAGCCAATGTTCTACCCAAGAACAAGCATTTTCATCTAGACCGATTTCCTTGAGTTTGAACACTAATCTATTGTGTGGAACTGTATCAAATGCCTTGGCAAAATCCAAATAGATCACATCCACGGCAACACCCTGATCTATACTTCTACTTACTTCTTCGTAGAACGCAATCAAGTTAGTTTGACATGACCTGTGCTTCATAAAACCATGCTGATTTTTGCTGATAACCATGTTCTTCTCAAGGAATTCTTGAATATTATCCCTTAATAACTTTTCAAATATTTTACCAGCCACAGAAGTTAAGCTCACAGGTCTATAATTTCCAGGCAAGGATTTTGAACCCTTTTTGAATATAGGAACCACATCTGCCTTCCTCCAATCCTCCGGAACACTTCCTGAAAGAAAAGAATCTTGAAAGATTAAAAACAGAGGTTCACTTATTTCTACACTTAGTTCCTTAAGTACACGTGGATGGATACCGCCAGGCCCTGGAGCTTTGTTTATATTAACTTTCTTTAGTTGCTGCAGCACCTTGTCTTGAGTTAACCAATTACAATTATTCTGCAAGTTTTTAGTAGCAATCATTTGCACATCTATTGCCATGGGTTCTTCCTTAATATATACGGAGGAGAAAATCAGAGTGGAAGGGATTGAAAGTCATAAGAGAATTTAGGTGTATACAAGGATCTAACTAAGCACGTTCTACCACTCAGTTTTAAGGGAAGTGGTCTCCAGACAGAGATAAGTCTCTGCAGGTCAGTGATAAGTTGTAAAATATTCAAGATGTATAGGGAGGAGAGCTTTTTAGGTAGAAACGTTCTCTGATACATAAGTATGATGGGTTCCCAATGCAGCTGTGACAAAATTGGTTGGTTTATATGTGTCACTGATAAGGTCATAGCTGTGGATTTCGTAAAGTTTATATGGGAGCCTGAAATTGCACAATAATTTATTTATTTATAAAATATTTTACCAGGAAGGATACATTGAGATTTCTCTCGTTTCCAAGTATGTCCTGGACCCACAATGTTTGCATCGTTACAATAGGGTACAATATAATATTACAATTACAAAATAATATTAAAAATATACATATATAAACTTAACACCTAACAGGTAAGGAATATAATCAACCATGATTACAGGTGCATTCTGTATTGAGATACACAAAAAAAACAAGTGAACCCAGTGGAAACTATCTACTACAAGTAGAGTGGATAGTTTTCACTGGGTTTACTCTGTTTTATTGCATGATTATGTGTTAAAGGATCACTATAGTGTCAGGAAAAGCGGTTTTCCTGACACTATAGTGCCCTGAGGGTGCCCCCACCAGGGTCCCCCTCCCGTCACGCTGAAGGGGTTAAAACCCCTTCAGCCATTTACCTTAATCCAGTGCCGGGCTCCCTCGGCGCTGGTGAGCTCTCCTCCCCGTCTGACATCGGCTCCCCCGTCCGACCCAATGCGTTTTTCTCAATG